TTATATGTGTACACACTGATTTTTGATTGTATTATTGCAATTTGACGCAAAAGCTTCTTCGGTTGTATTGTAGATAAATATTTATTATCTTTGGGTTGTTGTTCTATGTACAATACACAACAACGATGTCAAGGACAAGGAGTCCGAAGTTTTAGAACTGTGGGACTCGACTATATGCAGTTGAGAGACAGTGGGGGAGGGAGCATACGGTCTATCTACAGCTTGTCGAAATGGGTAGATGGGCAAGGAGGGAGTGAGGGTTGGATAGTGACCAAGAGAAAGAGAATATGTACTCTTTGTCTGGTCTGATGTGGATGAGAGCTATTCTGTGAAATCTGAACGGAAAATACGCTAGAATACATGCGATGCTCGAGGGCTTCAGAGGAGAAAAAAGGAAGGGGGAGAAGGAAGAAGAAGAGGGAAGAACGCTTACTCTTTGGACTCGAGCGATGTGTTTGTAGTGTGTGGAGGATGAGGATGATTGATTGGTGAAAGAGGCGAGACACGATAGGAAGAGAAGCGACTGTTTGTCTGTGAAGGTTTAGATTGGGCTGGTTGCTGGATGATAAGGCCAACTCGAGGTTCTTGATGTTTGTTTACTGATGGATGATGAGCTTGAGGATGGCTGTTGACCATCGTATGACTATGTATCGTTCTGATCTGAAGGAGCTCCAACACCAACTCTTCGGGAATCGATAATTCTGGATTGGATCAGATTAATAATTCCTGGGGACCGAGGGAGAGAAGGAAGGAAGTTCAGCGACGCGAAGTCAGAGAACAAAAATGATGACAAGGACGGATGGGTTGTCGCCCATACAACCAGCCGGTTACACAATAAGCAATCGATCCTCAATCAACTTTCCGGAGTCACAGTCGCCAAGTAACCTCAAATTTCAAATTCCAGTCTTAACCTACACAGCACACATCATTGGACCTACATAATATCATTGTTTGTATACATATAAATACGAGAGATGAGTGATCACCAGAAGCTCCTCTTCCCTTCAACTATTAACAATTCGAACCAGAAGCGAGATCCAGGAGATCGAGACGCCCATCGCAAACATTCAAAAAGAACCTCATCATCATCCATTCTGGAAATCGTTTCTACGACTCTCATACACAAGTCAAGCCAATCGATCTGCCTTTCAAATCAGCTACTCTGTGTCTGGTCTTACATGACAACCCATGATTCTCAAACAGGAACAAATGCCTTATACTTTTTTTCAAGACGACTGCTTCATCGGGACCGCCGATCCGAGGTCTGCATAATAATCATTATCAATATTATCTAACAAGTCTTTTATAGCCCAATCCATCTTTCCATGTAAATTTGATCAATCATCCAGCTTCATTTAAGCCATCCCAACTAACCAGTTATAATCATCTCAAATCTGTCTGCTGGCCCGATGGACCTGTCCCACTAAACTGAACATAAACAAGGAAAAGAATAATGATAAAAAAGGGCAATCATGGCCAGAGGAGAAATTCTGACTTGTTCTGCTTTTTTTTTTGTGTGAGGGAACAAATATGGACACTCTCACCTTGTAATCTGCCTTTTTTTGCAACATACTCAGTTGGTATCCATGGCAAGGACTGCAGCATTAATGTTGCTTAAGTGCTATAGAGGTCTCCATTTGCTGTTAGTAATATATTTTGCTCGCACTAACCACGTTGAGGATAAAAATTGGTGTCTACTCATGTTGCTCTACACTAATCTATGATACCAATCATTTGGATGGGTTGAACT